AAGATTTTTCTTACTATATGATTAGTATAAATAATAATAAAATAGTTAATAAAAAATTGTCCTTGCCTCATTTTTTTACTTAGTTTTTTTTGTATTAAATTTCAGTTCAAGCGAACATTTGATAACGGACGCCGATTACCGTCCCGACAACATAGAGGTCATGACTCCAATCATTGAAGGACTGAAACGTCTCACAGAGGACATCGATGAATCTGAACGAGAATCCATCGATATCGACAATAAACTCACAGATAAGGACAGCACTAGCACTGATACATTCCAATCGACCGAGAGCACGGAATTTGATAAAATGCGGAAGATAAGTAGGGCGGAAAGTGATTTATCGTCGCTGAGAAATCTATCGACAAATGGTTTAATTCAAGTTCTTTATTATACATATATATCTATATACAGGGTGACTGGTGAATTACTATCGATATTTGAGGACGTGATATTTGACGATCATATATGACAAAATAAAAATTAATATAACATAAATATTAATAAACTTCTAAGTAAAGTTAACCAAAAGTTGTGTAATTAATTACGCATCGTGTGAACACCCTACAGATTAGGTATACACTGACACTCACACATACGCGTGTCGTGACGTAGTGTTGCATCAGCACGTCGCCGCACGCGTCCACACTTGAACATTTGGAACGTGTCAACACTTTACTTATTATTAGGGAAATTTTGTCAAAAATTAAGTGCCTATTTTTTTTACATAATTCGAATGAGAATCATGTACCGAGTATTCTCCTTAAATATTGATAGTAATTCACCAGTCACCCTGTATATTTCGGCAGACCCTGGCTAAAGCTGGGAAATTGCGAGGAAGAAGAAGATATATCTTCTATATATATAAAAATAGATTGTTGTTCCTTGGTCTCACTAAAACTCGAGAACGATTGAACGGATTTATCTTATCTTAGTCTTGAAATGTTCGTGGAGGTTCAAGGATGGTATAAAAGCTGAAAAAAATGATTCATTACTGGGAAAACCATATAAACAGCCCTTTTCTATTTTCCATACAAACGTTTTTTTTGACATTAGATTTGACAACTAACTAATATTTCAATCATTTTGTCCCACTTCAGAATACGGAGATTCATGGCTTAAAGGTAAATACCAAAAAAATAAATAAGACATAATTTATTTCTTGATTGAGGCAGTACGAAGTCTGCCGGGTCAGCTAGTACCCATTAAACATGGTCATTAAACATGTTAAACAAAACAAAATATATGTTTGAAGTGTGACAAATAATCAAGACTTTTCGTATTGACAATAGTCAATATACTAAGGATATGCTTATATGAGGTTACATATACCTATCATAATCCTAAAACCATAGATGTTCATTCTATTAACCTTGCTCTCACACATACACTGTACCCAACTCCAGAGTAGAAATAAAACAAAAAACATACATATATTGCTTGTGAAAATATTAATATTTGTGAGTTTATATTATTTTTTATAATATTTCTGAAAATATGTGCAGCTAAAGGACGGCTTGAGTTTAGACTTAAGAATTTGAACTTGCACGAGCCCTTATATAAGTTTCTGTTAGATTTATAAGGAATCAAAATAATATGCATATCGTAAAACAGTTGATATTTAGCTAATATATCTTTAAATAAAATTTCCTATACATATATGTTTAAATATAATTTCCAAAACATCCGAGGATCTCCTACATCGTCTGTTCGTATGTATAGCCGGGGTCGCTGACCAGTTGCCGACTAACTTCGCAGCTGACCTACGTAATATATTGAAGGCTGTTTTCCTCATGAACCAAACGGCGGAAGTACCGGAATGCATAGAATATCAGGCTGGCGATGATCAAGTCATACAAAACGGTATGATAACACTAGTTTTTTCCCTCGACTTCGTTCGTCAAGACTTCAGAATTGATGCACTGAATTGATGCATCGAAATCCGTTAAATAATTTTTGCATGGTAGAGTAACAAACATATCGACTAATCGTCCGGATAGTGCAAATTTGCGTAACTGACATTGGATAATTAGTAATTATTTAGTGTTTAATTTATTACTAATTGCGAAATAATTACCTTAAAACTCGTTAATATAGAAAATATTTCGGCTTAAACTTTCTTCTGATAATCTGCTTCCAATTTAGATACGCGGAATTATCCAGTGGTAGTTACGCCGATTTACACTATCCCCGACGATATATAAAGTTATTAAATCCTATATTATTTCTTACAGGAAGTTCGTTCGACAGCGTTTATTCGGCTGAGGAAGTGTACGCGAACACTAACTCCGACTCTACATCGGAGCCATCTAGAGTCGCGCGACGTAACACAGTCAACTCTACTATGAACGAGCCCAATGTTAGCGATAGACGTAAATCAGCTGATACTATGCAAGCCTCTGTTTCAACGGGAGATCTAACATATAGGTATGTGGACTATTTTTTTAATCAACTTGAAATAAAATGTGTTGTTTGTTTTACATATATTCGATTAGGTTTATATAAGGATCTATTTAACATATTTAAACAGTCGACGACTAAACATCCACTTATAATTTATCGGAGAAGATAATTAATTAACTTCTACTATTTTGGCCAAGATGAACTAAAATTGAACAATTTTATGTTAATTATTGTGTAGTATATGAAATGGCGGAATCAAATAATAAACAATATATAATACGAAAGTAACATATAGAATAATAAATATCATTGAAGACATGTCATATGAGTTAGTTTCTAATATATTTTTCTATGTATCAGGGATGATACGTCTTCATCATCAGTAGTGGAGCGAGCCCCAGAGTGGGTCCCTGATATAGCGGCGCCCGCCTGTATGAGATGTTCCTCACACTTCACGTCCTTCAGGCATCACTGTAGGAACTGTGCCGAGTATCTCTCTATGCGTGTATGTGTGTGTGCCTATTTTGAAGATTGAAGTAATACTGGATACTGTTTTCGCGTTATATTTTTTGTGTTGAAAATAGTTTAGAAACTTAATATATTTTAATACTAATAAATAATAATTTCTTATAGAAATAAGCTCGCCTTTGTCAACTTGTTCTGGATGTAAAATAACTATGTAATTTTACTGTGCAATAAAGAGTATATATATAATAATTTATCAAGAAATTATTTAACTATCTTTTTTTTTTGTCACGCTATCACACAAGTTTTTATAGAGTCTGTGAGCTAACAATTGGATTATTATATTATGATCGGTACAACTTTATAAGACGATAAAGTAAGCAAAAATTTTATTCTTATTAGTAATTAAAAAACGCCAATTTTACAGATAAACATATACAGCTATATATTTCAAGCCTTTCATTGAAATTGTGGACCATATGACATATTATAGGCATTTTTTTACACATAATTAATGAAATTAATACATTTAAATTAATTCAAATGAATTTGTTGCGCTAGCGATATGTAGTTGAACAAAATAAATGATTTTTAGAAGTATTTCAATTTAACAATACAAGTACATAATAAAATGTTTACAATTGAAGTAATGTTTATGTATAGACACAAAATGTTACTATTTTGTAGTAATTTATACATCATATAAATGAGCACTAATGTTGCAATCCCATTTTTTTCACGTTTTCAGGGTTTCGAGACTAATATTTTTAGTTTAATAAATTTTTCTATATGATATCAAATATTTTCATTAACAATTCGTATAACTATTTTATACAAAATAAGTAGACATATACTCATACAATTATAAGTATCATTTATACAGAGAGACTAGAAATTTATATATATATAAAGGTTAATATACTTATAATAAATAGTAACAGCATTTCTCACGTCAATCCGTATAAAATTAAGCCGAATTAAGTATTTATTGCGTATTTTCATTACTTAGTAATGATTTATCAGTAATAAGTTTGTAAGGATCATGAAACATTGTATTTATATCAATTTCCCTTGTTTTGTTATTATATAAATAGGTATAAATAAAATATAACATTATTGATACCACTTATCTTTATCTATAAAAGAAAGTCGTGTTAATTACACTATTTAAAACTCCAGAACGGCTTTATGCTGAAAATTGGTGAAATTCTTCTTATTTACTGTCTTTAAGGAGGAATAGAGTTCCCCCGGTCAACTGAGGTCCTCCTATATTTCTAATTTTGAAAGGATTGCAGACGAAGTTGTGTGCAAAATCTAGTTTTACACAAGTTTTTTAATTCAAGTCTTATTCCTTTATACCTAATATATGTAATATTTGTTAAAATTATACTCAATCATCAGTTTTGTGTCGCCATTATAATATCTGTTTGTTAATATTCTTATTTGGTATTATTGTATTACTGAATTTTATTCTATAGTTTTTCTCCCAATGCTATTTTCAGATTGTTCGTTGAATTCGAACTGTGTTACGTGAGTGCAATGGTAAATGTGAAGACTCCACATGAATTTGAGGCCCAGCAGTTGATATGTGTCTTGTTCTCTGAGAGTGTAAGACGAGCTCCCAAACAGAGTCTGCTTACACAGGAACAAGTAATATGTTACTGATATTACAAGCTAGTCTAGATTGAATAGTATTTTCTAATACGATGGAGAAATTTTGTGAACAGATAGGTTTTCGGTCCATTAGTTTTGCTTTTATTATATTAGACTTAGTATTGACATGTTTACAACTAGCTTTTGCCGCGACTTCGTCCGCGTGGAATATTATTATTATATTCCGGCAGATTTTTGGTTCTTCCCACATAGTTCCCGTTCTTGCGGGCTTTTCGGAATGGTGGAGTTCCCGTAGAATTTTCAGGATAACACCTATGTTTTTTTATTCACAATGAAGTCCTCTTAACCAACAACATATTTATTTGTTTATTTGAATAAAGATTAATATTATTATGTTGATACAACTTAAACAAATTATTTCGACCAAATTAGGTACCTTAAAAACGGTTTTTGTGAGTTAATCTTAAAAGATGGACATATACTGTCGCGGACTGTTTTTTAGATCATTAAAAGATCTATTATTCTTTAATACATATTTTTTGTGTATCTTGAACCGTTTTCACATCCGTTTTCACATCCATTCCGTTTTTTACACATTTACCACTATATCTTTGCTGCTATTGGTCGTAGCGTGATATTATATAGCCCACAGCCTTCCTCGATAACTCGACTATCCAACACAAAAAGAATTATTCAATTCTAACTAGTAGTTTCGGAGATTAGCGCTTTTAAACAAACAAACAAACAAACTCTTCAGCTTTATAATATTAGTATAGATTAATCTATAATATACAATTCAGATTTTCTTACAAATTTAATTCTCTGATTTTATTTTAGTATGATAATATGTTAAAACAATATATACTCTTATATTTCCAGGTGGATTCATATGACCCAGCTCTAATGTTCGCCGGTCCACGTCTCGCTATAGGCAGCGGTCTCTTGATATATTCTAGTGGACCTCTCAGTATAGACAAACCACCTGGTGAGTGTGTATGTGTGCTCTATGTGTGTGTGTGTGTGTGTGTGTGTGTGTGTGTGTGTGTGTGTGTGTGTGTGTGTGTGTGCGTGCGTGGTTTAATGAACTCTTTTACAGATGTTTTTGGTTATGGTTATTGTATTTGTATATACTTTTATAATACGAGTCACTATTTGTATTCATATTTATTTAAAAACATACGGCCGTAGATGATCTTTTATGTATTTTGTGTTAGGTAAAGTACTATATCCTTTGTGTTTATATTATATTTGAGCACTTGTGATCGCTTCTATTTTATGTATCGTTTAAGTATATAATCATGTGTATGTGTCATGTACAATTTATTTGTTAAATATTATATAAATAACATATTAAACAAATGTGTATGAGACGAAACTACTCAGCGTTCAATGGATTCACCGTGCGGGTGCCGGGTCCATCGCGTTGCAGGGAGAGGAGCTTCAACAGTGCCTGGGACTTGCGACCCAAGTGTAGGTTTAAGGGGCCCCTTAACTAACGCGCGTTATACGCTCACCTCCACTGTCCAAGCTCCTCTCCCTACCTAACCAAATTTGAAAAGAACCTACTAGGGCTGCCTTCGATATACGTTCCAAGAATGCATTAATGTGAGTTCTGGACAAGCCCAAGTCCTTTAGTAGGTTGTAGAGAGATTTCGCTGTTATACCTCTCGCTCCCACCTCTACCGCGTACAAATCTACTACGAACCTATTTCGAGTGAGTTCGTTTGTGAGCTCGTAATATTTGTTGACCTTGATGGTATGGTCTTTGGGGATGTTGGTTTTCCAAGGGACCGTAAGCTCTATCATCACTACGCGCTTTAAAATTCGCGAAAACAAAAATATATCCGGTCTGGAGGCCGACGCACAAATATCCTCGGGATTTTGTTTTTCATACGTGTCCATCATTATAGTCCAATCCGACGCCGCTTTAAGGATGGAGTAAGGCTTGACGTTTGATTTTGTAGCCCTAGTGCCTTCTCTCACAAAACCTACTGATCGTTCGTTTGTGGTTATTTCCTTTTGCGCTCTGGCTACCGAAAGACTAACCGCTTCACGTATGACTTCTAGAACCCTATCGTGACGACGCGAGTATTGACCGCTGTCCAGGAGTACCTTACATCCCACCAGCAGATGCTTAGCAGTTCCAACTGCCTTTCCACAGATATAGCAAGTTTTTTCGGTACTTTTACCCCATCTTACTAAATTACTCTGATCTGGGAGAGTCATCTGGAACGCATTGAGATAGAATTTTAGCAATGCTGGCGACCAATCATAAATTAAAGTGCGCCATTTTAATGCTAATGGGATGCAAAAATCTCCTATGTCTAACCACTCGTTCTGCATTTCTAAATTCATTGCATGGATCTTGTATTTTTCATTCTCGTCTTGCCGAATAAAAGACTTCAATATATCCGCATCTTGGACTTTCCTATTTGATCCTAACCCCGCTCTGTTACTTTGTGCTCCTATCATAAATTGCTTATGGAATTGAAGTCGTGACTCTAGCTCGGGGGCATCTTCATCTTTTGGGAGCGATGTCACTATGTCATCATGGGATTTCCCCAGGAGATATCTCTTGGAAACTCTTAGGTGTTTATAGAGCTCCGATGGCCTTTTTAGACTCATCCCAAAACTATTGCTTCCCCTAAATAACGCCGATGAATCAGCCGTCAGAGCGAGCCCGAGCCACAACTCCAACATCTTTATGACGCCTGCATCTAACTTTGACAAAAGGGTTTTATTTAAATCATAGACGAGGAAAGGCCAATTCAAACGTGAAGTTAAGTAATTCTCGTAGATCCACGCTTTTTTGACGTTACCTATGAGTTGGCTATCTACCTTGTTAAGATCGTTCAAAAAGCTATCTACTATTCCTTCTAAAGATGGAGTACGGCCTATATTATCAATCTTACGACCGAGAAATTTAAATGGTGCATTTTCCGTAACCGTAGAAATGCATTGACCGCCTACCAAGACATCGAAAATGACATTTAATGGATTTTGTCCTCAATCCATCCGTCCACTCACAGAATTTATCCACTTCATCCAATAGTACTTGACAGTGTTTGGGGTTACGTGTGAGTATTGCGAGATCGTCAGCGAAGGCTAAAATGGATTCCGTGTATTTATTATTAAACTTAAACCGATAACCCCATTTTTTCTCGTTACAGATTAATTTGTCTACTAAGATGTTAATAACGATATTAAACGCAATTGGAGATAGACAACAACCTTGAAACAGTCCTACATTATAACTCAAACTTTTTGAAGGGCCTTCTTTAGTTATTATAGAAAACCTTAATTTTGAGTAATACGACGCGATCATATCACTAACTAGGGGTGGAAAGTTGTACCATCTAAGCGCGAATAGCATCAATTCGTGTTGTATCGACCCGAACACGTTCTCCAAGTCTATCCAACAAACAGTGATTTGCCGCTCGCTTTTTCTAGCATCTTTGAAACTCTCCGACAGCAAGGTGTTGTGTTCTAGGCATCCAGAAATCCCGGGTAAAAACCCCTTCTGGTGATTTGGCCTAAAATAGTTGTTGCTGAGCAAGAATCGCGTCATTCTCGTTTGTAGAACCGAGAAAAAGATTTTCGATATAGTATTTGTTAAAGCTATCGGTCTAGTATCTTTCGGATCAGTAACTCGATCTTTTTTGGGAATGAGGACAAAAATTGCTTTCCCGAAGCACTCCGGGATTTGCTTATATTTACAGAGGAAATGTCCGATATGTTCCGATAGGTTTATATATAGATGCAGATTACAAGTATCTGAGAAGGACATTCATTTAGTTTTGAATATGTGTCAAGTTAAACTCAAATGATAAAATTTTATGATTTCTATCTTTAATCAAATAATAAACAATATATAATACGAAAGTAACATATAGAATAAGAAATATCATTGAAGACATGTCATATGAGTTAGTTTCTAGTATATTTTTCTATTTATCAGGGATGATACGTCTTCATCATCAGTAGTGGGGCGAGCCCCAGAGTGGGTCCCTGATGAGATGCTCCTCACACTTCACGGCCTTCAGGCGCAGGCATCACTGTAGGAACTGTGCTGAGTATCTCTCTATGTGTGTGTGCCTGTGTGTGTGCCTATTTTGAAGATTGAAGTAATACTGGATACTGTTTTCGCGTTATAGTTTTACAAATTTAATTCTCTGATTTTATTTTAGTACTAGCTTTTGCCGCGACTGCGTCCGCGTGGAATAGTGACTTCCGGCAGATTTTTGGTTCTTCCCACATAGTTCCCGTTCTTGCGTGGTTTTCGGAATGGTCGAGTTCCCGTAGAATTTTCAGGATAAAACCTATGTTTTTTTAAATTCACAATGAAGTACTCTTAACCAACAACATATTTATTTGTTTACTAGAAGACCCGGTGAACTTCGTATCGCTCTATAATCAAGAAATATCTATCTACGTTTTTTTATTTATATTTTTGGAGTTTACCTATTAAAGACATAAATCTCCGTGTTTTGAAGTGCGACAAAATGACTGACATATTAGTTAGTTGTCAAATCTATTGAAAAAAAAAAAACAGTTTGGATGGGAAATAGAAAAGGGCTGTTTTTATGGTTTTCCCAGTAATGAATCAATTTTTTTCAGCTTTTATACCTTCCCTGAACCTCCACGAACATTTCAAGACTAAGATAAGATAAATCCGTTCAGCTGTTCTCGAGTTTTAGCGAGAATAAGGAACAGCAATCCATTTTTATATATATAGAAGATTTGAATAGAGATTAAAATTATTATGTTGATACAACTTAAACAAATTATTTCGACCAAATTAATTACCATAAAAACGGTTTTTGTGAGTTAATCTTAAAACATATACATATACTGTCGCGGACTGTTTTTTAGATCATTAAAAGAGCTATTATTCTTTAATACATATTTTTTGTGTATGTTGAACCGTTTTCACGGCGCACGCAACGGAAGGCTTCAAAGATGAAATAATTTCTCTAGTTTTTTACACATTTACCACTATATCTTTGCTCCTATTGGTCGTAGCGTGATGTTATATAGCCCACAGCCTTCTTCGATAACTGGACTATCCAACACAAAAAGAATTATTCAATTCGAACCAGTAGTTTCGGAGATTAGCGCTTTCAAACAAACAAACAAACAAACAAACTCTTCAGCTTTATAATAATAGTATAGATGATAATATGTTAAAACAATATATACTCTTATATTTCCAGGTGGATTCATATGACCCAGCTCTAATGTTCGCCGTTCCACGTCTCGCTATAGTCAGCGGTCTCTTGATATATTCTAGTGGACCTCTCAGTATAGACAAACCACCTGGTGAGTGTGTATGTGTGCTCTATGTGTGTGTGTGTGTGTGTGTGTGTGTGCGTGGTTTTATGAACTCTTTTACAGATGTTTTTGGTTATGGTTATTGTATTTGTATATACTTTTATAATACGAGTCACTATTTGTATTCATATTTATTTAAAAACATACGGCCGTAGATGATCTTTTATGTATTTTGTGTTAGGTAAAGCACTATATCCTTTGTGTTTATATTATATTTGAGCACTTGTTATCGCTTCTATTTTATGTATCGTTTAAGTATATAATCATGTGTATGTGTCATGTACAATTTATTTGTTAAATATTATATAAATAACATATTAAACAAATGTGTATGTATATATTTACAGAGGAAATGTCCGATATGTTCCGTCCCTTTCGCACCCTTCTTCATAAAATTCGTTCTCTCCTCTGGACATTGGATCGACGGGAACTACTCGTGCTTGAACGATTGTTGTGTACTAACGAAGACGTCGCCAGTCTCGCCGGGCTTGATATACCCGGTTAGTATTTACGAGTATGTCCTATACAATGTTACGTCCATTGAAACAAGATAAATATTGTAAACAAACTTTCTAAACTAAGAAAAACAGAAAAAGAGAATATATTTATATTTAAAGTATTGTCTTTTTCTTAAGAGTGCTTTCAATTAATGTGCTAAATATAAAAAGGTATAGTATTGAAAGTTTGTTTACATTTAGTATCATGTTTGTTTGTCACATCTGTATATAATAGTCCGAACTAGCTAAGCTTTTATGTTTTGATTTTCTTGGCTTTATACATAGTTTTTACTAAATTGGTTTTATTTTTATTCCCAGCTGATGATTCAACGGCTGATTCATGTTATCCTGATATTGGCGAGTTTGTGTCTAAATTCTACGCGGATAACGTGCACTGCCGGGATCCATACACCCAGAGGTAATATATTGAACTGTATATCGATGGATCGATACAACAACTTACGTGGGAGGTCCACGTAAGTTGTTGTAATCTCCAAAAGTGTAATTTTAAAGTAGAGCGTTTAAAAGATTCAAATTAAACCAAAATCTGCATTTATGGATGCAATCTTTTAAAATTTCGTATTTAAATTTAAAATAATAGTCTTCTTAACTACGTTAAAAGATATTTTAATTAATTTGCCTATTTGCGGATATTGCTGTTATATTGTTCATACGACATTATACTTCGGAGTAGAAGCTAAAAAAGGCGTTGTGTCTGATACTTACAACATTATACCGCGGGGCCCAGGTAGCGTCACTTGTGGTATATGATAGTTCCAACTGTATACGTTGAAAAATATAAGTCTTACTCTGTTGTATGTGACTCATACGCGGCGTGAGCGTCATTTTACCCACCTCGCGCCCCGCGTAAGCAATAGCATAGGCATATACATCAGTTTAATCCTTCCGCGTTTGAAAATTACAACATTATATTTACATCGGACAAATCCTTTAAAAATAGTGTTTTTGATGTTTTTTTTTTATTTGAATGGATATAATGATCAATAATAGGATATTTTTCATAACAAAAAGCAAAATAGCATTTTTGTGGCTTACAACAACTTACGTGGGAGGTATCGATATAATTGTTATATTTATGAGTAATGATGAAATAAAACAATGAACTTGTGGCACACAATTTACTGCTTGAACGTAGACTGACAACTGTCACAAACATTATTTATCTACCTACTATCTGAATTTGTTACAAACACTATATTAAGATAAGCGTTATTCTTCGGGCGTGAAATTTTGAAATAATCATACCGCATTGGTTGTCTAACTGGCGCGGCCCTTTATATATTGAACAGGATAATAATAATAATAATAATAATAATAATAATAATAAAGCTTTATTTATTCCATGCATAATAATAAACTATAATATTTATATAACATTCCATTGTAAATTAATTAATACCCTAACTAGATTTGTTTACATTATAACATTTTTTTAAATAATAATCTGATTTTCATAATTTGATATGATAATTAATTAATCATTTTATATTTAATCAATAATTAATATATGCATGGACCCCGTTCGGGTAAAAGCCTCCCCCAAGGACTGCCATACTTCTGTATCCATGTATCCATGACTATTTTCTTGATCGTTGAGATTTCAAATTTTTACTTATGGTGCCAGAACCTGTTCCAGGTAATCGCCACACTTCTTAGTTTTGATAAGTGTTCTTGGGCGGTTTTGGTCGAACTCTCCCGCGGTGACCAGCCGTGCTGGGAGATTAGAGGTTGGAAAAGGGCCCGATTTTAATTGCTATACTGTGTTTGGGTCTGAGGTTATCGATTGGCGTTGAGCTGGTTCTTTCTGACCGAGGTTTAGTTTAGGCTTTTGTATTATGTAGTTCGTCAATACCCCTTTATTTTTCTTGAGTGGGTTTTTATTAGAATACTGAGCATTTTGGTTGTTGGGGTGGAGCGTCTCTGGGGATTCTGATAGGTTTCTTTTGCTTGATTGCTTTTGTTGAGGGTTTTTGTTGTTCAGTACTACAATTTTATCATATTTTATAAAAGCGGTGTTTCCTGCATCTTTTTCTTTCTGTAGTTGTATTTGTAGCTCTTTACGTTTAATTAGAACTTCAATTGGGTAGTCTTCTTTTAAGTAATAGGAAGTATTTTGAAGGTTGTGTTTATTTTTTTAAATTTTTATTTTAAAACCTAAGGTGTTGAGTGTTATTACTATCGGTCTAACTTTGACTCCCTTTTTACCCAGCCTTCTAACTGTCTCTATGTTGTTAGTGTCGCATGAAATTTTTATGTGTTTATTTATTATATTTATTACCAGTTTTTCCAGATTATCGTAAGATTTCTCTATCTCTTCTACGCCAAATAAGACCAGATTTCTGCATCGAGACTGTCTTTCTATGTTGTTAATTTTATTTGATTGCTCTTTTATTTTTTTCTCCAAAAGCTCGTTTTTCGATTCTAAATTATTGAATTTCTCGCTGAGGCTGTTGATTATTGTATCCTTAATATCCTTTTTCATTTCTAACATATCTTGTTTTTGTTGCTTTATATCTTGCTGCATGCTGATTAACATATTTTTTAATTCCTCCATTTCTGTTTACAATACACTTAGCGCCCTCTATTAGGACGGGCAGTACTTCTTTGTATATTGGCGATCGAATTGTGTAAGCGCTGTGAGATAACGGAGTGCGCGTCGTATTTGGACCTGGTTAGGAAATTCTGATGAATCGCAATAGATGGCGCTGATGGAAATCGA